GAAGGACGCACGGCAAAGAAAAGATGACTCCTAAGCAGTGGGCTTAGGTTTTAAAGCGAAGAACAAGATTTCTAAGCGGAAGCGAGGGTTCCCAAAACGAAATAGCTCTGATACCAAGTTAAATGTAAAAGAATACGTTGTGTATTGATCTGTGTCAGGGAGTTACAATATATAGAGACCCTAATGGGCTTAAGTGTAAGGCCCAAACCTAATCCAAACCTAATCCTAATACAGTCAGAATACAGTCAGACTATTTACGGATAAGACAGAATCCAATCATATCTAATCAAATCTAATCATATCATATCTAATATTCTAACAGCTAACACAGAGTGAAATACAAGAGAGGAGAGACAAGAACTTATGTTTTACTTGTGGAGAAAAATATTTTTGTGGCCATAAGTGTAAGGCTTCTGTACACATATTAATTGTACCGGATGATGAAATTTCCTTGAATGCTGATGCTGATGTTACTCATGAAGAGTCTATGTTAATAGATCAGGAATCATTAGTAGTGCAACAGGAAACTCCACAGATTAGTTTCCATGCTCTGTCAGGCTTCGTGGTACCACAAACTCTAAAGATTCCATGGACATATTGGGAAGACAGAAATGTTACTGTTGGTTGATGGAGGAAGCACTCATAACTTCCTACAGCCACAAGTGGTTTCTTCCCTACATCTACCTATGTCCACAGAAAGACAATTCAATGTTATGGTAGGAAATGGCCAAGTCCTAAAATGTCAAGGATTTTGCGCAGCAGTACCTGTCAAGATACAGCAACATATATTCCTTGTTGATTTCCATGTTCTACCTATCCAAGGAGTGGATATGGTACTAGGAGTACAATGGCTACAACTCCTAGGTCCAATTGTGGTAGACTACCAACGGCTAACTATGGAATTCACATGGGAAGGAGAAATCATCAAGTTAAATGGAGAACAACACAGCAGCCCCATTTCCTTGAACCAGTTTAAAAAGATCCACACTTCTGGTCAAATTGCTTCATTGTATCAGCTGACAGTGATAGATTCACAGCAAACAGTATCCAATGAAGTCAGGAGTCCACAAATTCAACAACTGTTGAATGAATTTGAGGAAATATTTCAAGAGCCCACAAAATTACCACCTTATCGAGACTTCAATCATGAAATTCATCTAGAACCACAATCCCAGCCAGTCAATGTGAAACCATACAGGTATCCACATTTCCAAAAGAATGAAATTGAGAAACAGGTAGCCAACATGCTGGAATTGGGTTTTATCAGGCATAGCACTAGTGCTTTCTCTTCACCTGTATTACTAGTCAAAAAGAAAGATGGCTCATGGAGATTTTGTATAGACTATAGAGCCCTTAATAACATCACAATCAGGAATAGATTTCCCATTCCAACAGCAGATGAGCTAATGGATGAATTGGGAGGATCTAAATTTTTTTCCAAGTTAGACTTGAGGGCAGGGTATCATCAAATCAAAGTCCATCCCCCTGATATTCATAAGACTGCATTTAGGACACACCAAGGCCACTATGAGTTCTTGGTGATGCCTTTTAGTCTCACAAATGCATCATCTACTTTCCAAGCCACCATGAACCTACAATTGCAGCCATTCTTGAGGAGATTTGTAGCTGTATTCTTTGATGACATCTTGATTTACAGCCAATCCCTCGAAGATCATTGGAAACACCTCAGGTCAGTACTTATCACATTGAAAGATAATCAGTTTTATATCAAGAAAAACAAATGCTCTTTTGCGCAGCAATCAGTGGAGTATCTTGGTCACATTGTCTCAACAACAGGAGTACATATGGATCAATCAAAAATTCAAGCAATGGCAGATTTGCCAACTCCCAAAAACATTAAACAAGTAAGGGGATTCTTGGGACTTACTGGCTACAATAGAAGATTCGTTCGCAACTATGCATCAATTGCATCACCCCTTACAGATTTGTTAAAAAAGGATTCATTCCTTTGGACCTCAACTGCCCAGGAAGCATTTCAGCTCCTCAAATCTGCCATGCTATCAGCACCGATTCTGATTCTTCCAAATTTTAACCAGGAATTTATCATTGAAACCGATGCTTCTGATTTAGGTGTGGGAGCAGTGCTACTCCAAAAAGAACATCCAATAGCTTACTTTAGCAAAAAGCTATCATTAAGGATGCAAAAAGCCTCAGCATATGTGAGAGAGCTATATGCAATCACAGAAGCTGTGAAGAAATGGCGCCAGTACCTGCTAGGTAGGAGGTTTCTCATTCGCACGGATCAAAAAAGCTTTAGAGCTTTACTTGATCAAGTGGTACAAACACCAGAACAGCAGTATTATTTGGCTAAGTTACTAGGATTTCAGTATTCCATAGTATACAAGCCAGGGAAGGAAAATAGAGTAGTTGATGCTCTATCTAGGCACCCAGCTACCTTCTCATTGTCCACACTGTCAACAATTCAGTTTGACATTTTAGACACCTTGCGCAAGGAGAATAAGGAGTCGCAATATTTTTTGCATCTTTACAATGAGTTGAATTTACAAACAAGAAGCACGAATATGGAGGTCAGAGATGGACTCTTACTCAAACAAGGGAAGCTACTACTTGATCCCACATCACCTTTAATACAGAAAATATTACAAGAAACACATGCTACACCAACTGGGGGTCACCATGGAATCCAGAAGATAGTAGCCAGAACTGCAGCTGCATTCACATGGCCAGGCCTGAATCATGATGTAAAAAAAATTGTGAATCAATGCTTGATTTGTCAACAATCTAAATACTCCACTCAAGCTCCTGCAGGTTTGCTACAACCTATTCCAATACCAGAAAAAGTTTGGGAAGATCTAACTATGGATTTTATCATAGGCTTACCAAATTCGAATGGTTACACTACTATTTTAGTTGTAGTTGACAGATTATCTAAGTATGCTCACTTTGGAGCATTACCAGCCAAATTTCATGCAGCAAAAGTGGCACTTTTATTCTCTCAAATAGTCTGCAAATTACATGGGTTCCCAAGGTCATTAATTTCTGACCGTGATCCATTATTCTTGAGCAAATTCTGGACAGAGCTGTTCAAATTGAGTGGCACAATACTCAAGAGAACCACAGCCTATCATCCTCAATCTGATGGGCAATCAGAAGTGGTGAACAGGACACTGGAATAGTATTTAAGGTGTTTTGTAGCTGACCAGCCCAGACATTGGTTCAATTTCTTGCATTAGGCAAAATTTAGCTATAACACAGCCTTTCACTCTTCTGCAGGAATGACCACTTTCAAAGCAGTATATGGCAGAGAACCTCCATCTATACTCGACTACTTACCTTCTTCAGCCTCATTAGAAGAAGTGGACAGGCTCTTGTGCACCAGACAGGAGATGCTTTCAGAATTAAAGAGGAACTTGCAACATGCCCAGCAGAAGATGCAGAAGATGCAAAAGAATGCCAATCAACATCGAAGAGATATCCACTACAACATTGGAGAGCTGGTGTGGGTCAAATTATAGCTGTACCGCCAAACATCAGTAGCTAATCGTATGTCTAATAAGCTTGCAAGAAGGTATTTTGGACCTTTTACTATACTCAAACAGATTGGCCAAGTTGCATACCAGCTAGAATTACCAACAACAGCAAAGATACACAACACCTTCCATGTGTCATTGCTGAAGCCGTTCAAAGGGCATGCTACTCCTCCATCATTTCCATTGCCAGAAGTCTTTACTAGTGGCCATCCCATTTTGGAACCACAACAAATATTGCAAAGGAGAACTATAGTAGAAGATGGCAAGCCGTGTGAACAGGTGCAAGTTCTATGGGCAGATATGGCCCAAGAAACTGTCACATGGGAAGACTGGGATAACTTCAGACAACAGTATCCTCATTTCAACCTTGAGGACAAGGTTGTTTGTGATCGAGAGGGTATTGATACGAGGGAAGAGCAAGGAGAAGTAGAAGAAGGAGTCCATGAAACCAGTATAGCAGAAAGGCGAGCAAAAAGAACTAAGATAGTCCCACATCGTTATCGTGAGGAACTATAATTAGTAAGGACATTAGTTAGTGGAAGTCAGTTACTATTAGTTCAGTTAATGGTAGTTAGTTTGTTATTCAGTTACTGTCAGTCAGTTAGACAATGTAATAAACCTTGTTGGTTAAGAGTGTAAGGACCCTTGAGTATAAAAGGGTATCTGGATGTAATAGGAAGGATCATTCATGGAGTAATAATACAATCGATTCATTCTCCTCTTCCTCTGTTCTCTGTTCTTTCCTTCTTCCTCCCCCATTGTTCTTCATAGATAAGGTCTTTCCTTATCACAGCCCCTCCTCTTGTTCTACTTATACCTATTGATTTCTCCGCCAATTCACAGTGTATTTTTTAGTTCGTCAATCTTTCAGATTCTCATTCATTCGTTTAATCACCAAATCTTCCTTCTTCACAAACAATATGGAAAAAGCTCCTTCTAAGGTCAATTCATTGATTCAGAAACAGCAATGCTTAACAGGATTAATAAAAATTACTTGTTGCATATTCGTGCTCCTCACATTGCTCTTTTGCAATATAAATATTCTAAATTTCAGATCAGAAAGGAAAAAAAAGGGATTCACATTTAGGAAAAGCTTAAGCTGATTGAGCTAGCGGTTATCGCAAAAGAAGAAACCTAACATCTTTTATAGTGTCCTTTTCTTCTGAAATTCAGAATCAATAATGCTACATACGAGTAACAGAACAATTGAGTAGAACAGACAACCTTAATCTGTTCGAAACTTCAAAAATATGCATGATTTAGAAGTTAGCATCCGATTAATTCTGTGTCCCCATGTATCATTTTCTGGTCCGCTAACAATCATATCAAATATATAACACAAACACACACACTTTATTTAAGTTAAAACCCATGGAAAATCCAAACATACACTAACAGATTCACAAAGCAAAATAACAGAGAAGCAAGGTTTCAGTTCACTTTATATTGCTGTTAAATCAATAATAATAAGGATAGAGGAAGACAGACCAGAGACGAAGAGGTTGGTGCTGGGATCCGCCATCTGTCGGGCGGAAGGCGCCGCCGCAGACGGCGGAGGAACGAAAGGGAAGGTAGGAGAAGGAGAGGTTGAGTTCGTGCAGAAAAGCCGCCGCAAACCGCGGGGCGCCGCCAGTGCTGCCCTCATCGCCATGGCCGCGGGTTTAAGCTAAAAAGCAAAACCCTGGGGAGAGATAGAGAGAACAAAGTGAAAAAACAAATTAGACACTTCGAGTAAGGCGGAACCCGTGGGCTTTTTATTGGAAAAATGAAAATTACCAAGATGGCCTTCTGTTTTCATACAAAATCTAGCAATTTTAGAGTTTCAATGGGTATATATTAGGAGTACAGCTGTTAAAATTGATATGAACTTACTCCAATAATTCGATAAAATAATGAATATAGTTACCAAAATTTAACATCAATTTTTTCTTAACTCTTTTTGTTGGGTCTAATGTGACCTAACTCAAAGTTGGGTTAGTGTTTAAAGTTGGGTCAAATTGAGTTAATGATCCAAAATTTAGTTAATTTTGTTAGTCATTTATTTTTTATTTAAAAAAATTAAAATTCAATTGATAAATGGGCGAATTCCCAGATTTATTTGTTATTATTATGAAACCGATTTTTCCAAATTTATTAATTCTCGTTTATTTTAATTTTTTAAATATTATATTAATCGCATTTAAAAATTTTAGGTCGGTCACCATGTTAGAATCAAATTGCAATTTTTGGAACTTGAGTTCACATTGGTTATATGTGTGACTGACTAATATGGTATTTATATGAACTTTGAGCTCTCCTACCTTATGAGTTAGCTTTTGAAATAAAATTCTTTCTAGGTTCATATCAATTGATATCAGAGCTTTCTACTATGTCTCCCAGCTGCAATCAAGTGGCATGACTGGTGATGCTAGTATTGCAGTGTTCACCCAGAACTAGTAAAAAATTAACACAAAACCAACCTGCGTGGGCACCGAAACTGCGAAACATGATAGAATATTACGATCCAATTGCAAGGTATAAGACTTGAGTCTCATATTGATTATATGAATAATTAATGTGAGATTTATATAAACTTTATATGCTCTCGAATCTCATGAACTAGCTTTTGAGATAAGATTTTACTAAGATTCATATCACATCCTCGTGAAGCTAAATGGTCTAGCAAAATAATGGTCTAAAATGTAATAGGTCTCGTACGGTTTAGCATAAAAATAAGTTGCTAGGCCCAAATATATTAGTCCTAACATTTGTATTTCTCAGAGATTTTAAAGTGACTCTAAAGTAAGTTAAAGTTCTTACTCTATATTAGTTATTGAGTACTATCTTTGTTAGGTAAATCATTATTATCTCTTACTTTCAAAAATGTTTTTAATTAATATAATAATTGATGCGACACTTAGTGAATAATACAAAACAAGAAAAAAAAGTACTCCGTGAGCATTTGAAAATTTCTCGTATATTCGGGTTTCCAAATCAAAGCGTGTGTTTGTTATGGGTTCGGAACTTCTTCGGATATATCAAAACCAACATAGGTTTGCTATTACCTGGGTTAGGTTTGTATTTTGGGCTAGTTGTTTGATTGTTGGATAGGACTATTTTTGGTTTTCGGCTAATCCAAATTGTTATCTATCCTATAATTTCACAAGGCCTTTTTCTTTTGGGCTTTTATTTTATAAAAGAGATGAGTTATCCTGCTTGAATTATTTGGATTTGGCTATTGGATCCTTTCCGAGCTCTTGCATCTTTTTTCTTCATTTTTGATTGATTTTTTTTTTACTTTTGTTTTATGTATTAGGCTTTCATAATAAGAATAAATTTAATCTTAATAATAGTTCATGCAATGGCTGATAATGTTGTTAGAGTGGCCCATGTAGTCTCCAATATCGTAAGGATCCATAAAGTCTGTTGAGCGAACTAGTGTCCTCTTGAAGCTTATGTAAGAGTGGGCCTCAAATAATTTTTCATGCAATAGTCACCAAATATGTCATATCTAGTATTTGTATTTATTAAAACGCCAATTGCATTTTGAATTCTCCATTCATCTTCTAGGTATCACAGTAGAGCAAGAAATTCTCTAGATGACTATAGGGGTCTTCGGTACTTCCTCCAGCGAACTGATCTTTTCGAATCAGTTTAGTAGTGCTGGCTTGAGCTCAAAGTTGTTAGCTTTCACATTGGGTCTAACAATACTCGCCGTCTGCGGAACTCGGGCTGGAGTCATGTAATCTCCCAAAGCTCTGGGAGGATTCTAAATCGCGTTGTTGTCAACCATAGTTTCTCCTTTGGTTCCGTCGAGCTTGATGCTTTTGCTTCTTTTGCTTTTCTTTCTTTTGCGCTTTTTCTGAGTTTTTTGGCTGTTTTTTCTATCTAAGGATCAAACTGCAAGGATCGTGGATTAACAATACCTCGCATAAACTAAGAGTAAAAGATTATGCAGAAAAATAGAAAATGCATAAAACAGGAAATTTAAACAAAAAAATATAATGCAGAAAATGCAGAAAAAAATTTAAAAAATTTAAACAAAAAAAATTTAAAAAATTTAAAAAACTTAAAAAAAAATATTAATGCAGAATTTAAATTGCAGAAATTTAAAACGTCCAATATAAACAGTTTTTAGTTACTTCTAATGTTGAAGGATCCAATCTCCGGCAACGGCGCCAAAAACTTGTTGCGACTCGGCAAGTGCACCGGTCGTTAAGTAATAAAAGTGTACCGGAGTACGAGATCGTTCTCACAAGGATTGGGTTTCAAACACTAGTTCGCTAATCGCGGTTTAGTTGGACAATCAATATTTAGATGAAGAAAATTGAAATTAAAAAGAAAACAATTAATAACATGCAATTTAAAATTCAGAATTAAAAAGCAATTGGAAAGATGATTGATTTAAAGATTAAAAACAAGCGTAGTTAGGGTTTCGACCTCCCACAATCTCCTCTATATGCTATGAATTAAACTGTCAAGAATCTTCTTTTAATATAATGCCAATAAATTCTTACTAAGTTAATTAGGGCTCAATTCCTTGTTACCCTAAATCTATGTGATCTTGAAAAAACTCTAGTTCTCCGATTATTCCCCAAGAAAACATGCATTAAGATCAAGAATTTAAAGATTGCATAATTTCCCTATGTCTATCCCTAGATCACAAGGATTGTGATAAATTTATCAAATCAAGGTTCATGCACCAACATCCATATTGTCATACAATTTCCCTAAATCAATCTATAAGTAGCAAACTCATAGAAAGTATTAAAGACAGATAAATTTATTCAAATATAAAAAGAAAAAAATTCAGAGACAATTTAATTCATAAACATAAGGATTCAATTGGGTTTCATCTACCCCTAACTACATAAAAACTTAGCCTAGCATACTGGAATTAAAAGCAATAAGAAAGAAAATAGTTCCTTAAGCCTCCATTGGTGTGATGTTGACTTGGCTCCCCAGTCCGCAACAGGATTCCTCCCTTGGGTCTCTGTGTATTTCCTGTTGTGTGTCTGGGAATGAGTTAATTCCATTAACCCCAAGCTCCCTATTTATAACTTTTGAAGCCATATCTTTTAATTATTCATCAAATCTCCCTATGAATCTCTATCAATTCCCAACCAAATATTGATTTGTTTTTGTTTTTATTTAAGATCCTGCAGATTAGGCTGACAGATTGAGCTTCAAATCTTTGTTATGATTCCTTTATCACTTCTTAGCACCAAATCTTGTGGATTTACCTTCAAAATGAGCAAGATATCAAAACATTAGCTCAATTTTCAAATCTTTATGATTTTATCATATAACGCCTTGAATTCCATGCAATCTACCATATAATTCTTGTATACTTTATAGCCTAAAAACATGGTAAACCAAGGGTTTATCAAGTAATATCATTGAAAGACAGGATGTTTGATAACTCTTTATTTATTATGTTGATGATGAGTTGATCATATGAATCAAGTATACTTTAGAGTAAAAGCTTGGCACGTTCACTTTCTACTACGTTGCAATCCAATGATGTAAGTTAAGAAACAATATATTCAAATTGTTGATGTGGTCCATTATTATTATGGACTCACTCATTCGAAGAGTATATAGTCTCTTCTTCAAGAATATCTTATTATGAAGAGATTTGACCTCATATAATTTGGTGAGCACATCCCAAATTTCCTTTATTATCTTCTTTTTAGCAACACTTGACAAGATCGAGTCCATCTTTGCTAGGAACAGATTTGTAATAGCATTAGTATCTATTTTTTCTTCTTTTGTTACTTCTATAGGTCTGTCTTCGATTGTGGCTAAGTAATTGTCCTTCCTCATGATTGTTTTCATCTTCAGTTTTCAGAGGGAGAAATTACTCCCATTGAACTTCTCGATCTCAAATTTTGCATCCATATTATTGACAATACTCTATTTATTAACTGTATTGAGTTATACTATTTCGTCGTGAATAGTACTATAAACGTGAACAATACCGTATAAACAAATATTAATGGATTTTATAATAACTCTAACCTGTGAATTATGAATTTATGAATTGATTAAAGGATTAATCACGAATAATAGGGATTAATGAGATGAAAGACCTAATTTTAAGTAATAAAACCACTTTTGGGCAAAATTACAAATAATGAGAGTTTTCGGGGCAAAAATGCAATTAGGCAAAAGTTGTCCCAAACTTGAAAATAATGAAGTGAGACATAATTAAATCACATTGGTGGATTATGGAATCATAAAAATATGGCTAAGTTAATAGCCAAGAGTGAAGTTAACATAAGGGCTGGATTAGTAATATGACAAATAGATATTTTTAATTGGACCAAAAAGTCAAAGTTGGCTTTTTAAAGTAATTAACAGTTAATCTCATTTTGGTCCATTAGCTATCTTCTTCTTCGTGTTTTTCCCCTCAAAGCAGAAAGTCATTGATATGTGAGCTTGACAATCACATTTTGAATAAGCCACCTAAACACAAAACAATTGTCATGAAAAAGGTTAGGGATTACATTGTGATCATATCCCTCTAAAAAAAACCTCTTAGAAAACCATTGGGCAAGGAGATATCCTCTCTTGAAGGAGGTACATAAGTTGGTGTTCAAGGAGCTAGAAAGGGTTGTTTGTCTTCTTGAAGCTTGGAACTTGCTCCTTGAGTGATTTTAAGGAGATTGATGGTAAGAAATCCTCATTCTTAGAGCTTGTAATGCCTCGTCGGTCGCCGATGCATTAACATACAATGGTACAAGGAGC